AATTATAATGGGGTGTTCAAAAATGGGAAATGTATATAACCAACTTAAGAATCGAGCTAGTACTACTTCAGAAAATTAAAGATGCTCAAGAAACTGACTCTGCTATAGGAACCTTAAAGAAAGAAGCTGAAAAGAGTTTAAGACCTGACTTTAGACTTCATGATGATGTGTTGCTTTGATTTAGAGAAATATTGTGCGTTTCTGATGACCCTAACTTGAAGAGACTAATATTAGAGGAAACATATAATTCTAGATTTACCATACACCCAAGCATCACCAAAATGTATCGAAATTTGTGACCTCGTTATTGGTGAAATGGGATGAAGAAAGACATCTCTAAATTTGTTAATAAATGTTACCTGTCATAGGATTAAAGTTAAATATCAAAAGGCTGTGTAATGGGTTTGCTTATAACCAGATTGAACCATGATACTATTTGGGTGATAGTGGGCCGATTAATGAAGTCAGCCCATTTTGTACCAATAACAGCTACAGAATACTTAGATAAACTTGCCAGGTTATATATTAAGGAAATTATTAGACTTCATGAAATTTCAGTATTAGTAGTTTCAGATCGAGATGCTCGTTTCACCTCTAGGTTTTGGACAAGTCTTTAGCAGGCCTTAGGCACCACTTTATCTTTCAGTACAAGATTTCACCCATAAACAGATGGCCAAATGGAAAGAACTATTCAGGCATTAGAAGATATGCTTAGGGCTTGTGCACTAGAGATGGGAGACAATTGGGACAACCATCTACCATTGATTAAATTTGCCTATAACAACAACTAGCAGTCTAGTATTAGTGCAGCTCCATATGAAGCACTTTATGGCATACCCTGTAGATCTCTTGTATGTTGGGAAGAGATTGGAGACAAGAAATTAATTAGACCTAAATTAGTTGAAGAAACTACATCAAAGATTGTCCTAATCAAGAAAAATATTCAAACAGCCCAATATAGGCAGAAGAGTTATGCAGACCACTGTAGAAGGGTTTGGAATTTAAGACAGGGGATCATGTGTTTTTGAAGGTGCCACAAACGAATGGCCTTATGAGATTTAGAAGGAAATGCAAATTGAGTCCCCGCTTCGTTGGATCGTTAAAAATACTAGAGAGAATTGGAACTATTGCTTACTGATTAGCTTTACCACCAGAGTTGGCTAACGTTTATGATGTATTTCATGTGTCCATGTTATGCAAATACCATCCTGATCCTTCACATGTAATTCAGTATGAAGAGATTCCTATTGAGGACGATATGTCTTATCAGGAGATGCCCATAGACATATTGGATAAATAATTGTGAGTATTGAGTAACAAGACTATCTCGATGGTCAAGGTACCCTAGCGACATCATTCGCTAGTGGAAGCTACCTGAGAGACTAAGGACTTGATACGAGCTTGATTTCCTCACCTGCTTTAGAGACATATCAAATTTGGAGGACCAAATTTTTGTGAGGGGAGAATTGTAAAACCCACCCTTTTATTTGTGAAAAATATATAAAAAATTAGGAATTTGATTTAAATGAAAGGATGTTATTAATTTTGGGGGTTTTAATTAATTTTAAGGACTTAAATAAAAATAAATAAGAAAAAATAAGGGTGAAAGTATAAATAAGTGGAAGTAGAAGGGGGAAAATGAAATAGGGAACGGACGGTCCTGATCAAACTATCTGAGGAGATCGAATGGCTGAGATGTAATGGAGAATGGATGGCCCAGATCGAATCAGTGAGATCCAATGGTTGGGGAGGACGGGTATAAAAAGGAAGAGTTTAGGTTTTCTTTTTGTTTAGGTGGGTAGCCAAAAAAGAGAGAAGAGGAGAGAAAGAGGTGAGCCGATCAAGTGAGAGGGAAGAGAGGAGACTGTTGTATGGGGGAAAGTCGAGAGGAATGAGAAAAAAAAAAGAAGAGAAGAAAAGAAGAGTGGTTAAACGAGAAGGAT